ACCTTTGATTGAACCAAAAACAAACAAACAAAAAAATCATGTTGCAGTGTAAAAACTTAATGATTTACAAAGGACAGGGAAGATATGTTATCTACCAGACACACTGGTCAACTTATAACAATTAAAAAGACCCACATCCAAATGAATCATTATGTGAAAACTACACTTGACTGCTAACCAGAAGGCTGGCGGTTCAAACCCACCAGCCACTCCTCGGAAGGAAGGTTGGGCAATCTACTTCCGTAGTGATACCGTCTCGGAAACCCAAGGAGGGGTCACTATGAGTCGGGTCTGACTCGATGGCACATACCAACAACAACAACTGTCTTCCATCTTGGTCCTTTCCAAAATTCTGAAACCGTCATTAAGGAGGGGACACTCTGGCATTCCTGTCATCATTTTCCTGGGAGAGTTGGGCCAAGAGAAGGCAGGTGGGAAATCTGGGTCTTTGGTTCTGGCCCCATGGAGCAAGCTTGGGCCCAGGGCACATTTTTTTATGGTCCAATTAGAAATCTTCGACTACAGAAGTCTGTCATGGACGCTGACAGCGGGCCACACGACGGTAAGATCACTTTCAGAAAGGTGTCCCTCAGCACAGGCGAACCTCAACGTGGCGGAGGCAGTCTCCAACGGACGCCTTGGGTCAGCCAGCCTCAGAGAGTGAGTCCTGGTCACACAGCAGCTCTGCGACTCTTGGGGCCAAATTTTGTTCCTTTCCTTTGTAAAACTGAACTCCACCTCAAAGGGTCGGCCTCCACTTACGCCTGCCATCAATATCGTCTGACCGCCCTGTCGGTCAGCACCCGGGAAGCAAGCTGCTAGACAGGTGGCCCGCCGGCCACACTGACCACAACACACCAAGCACTTTCAGGACTTTATTCGCGTTTTTCTCGGCTTATGTTAATATGCACCACGTGTAAGTGAGATGAGGGCGACTGTGGCAACGTGTCCAGTGACCGCCCTCTTCATGCTGCTTTCTAACAGTCAAATCACATATGCACTGGTCGAGAGGACAAAGCCACGTCTGCTACAATGTTGAGGGAACAAAAACGTGTGCCTTCACAGGACAGGTGTCAGCTACAGGTTCTACACCACGCGAGGAACCAGGGGCGCTGTGCTAACTCCCACTCAACTGAAAAGGTGGCCTTAAACTCCTCGGAAATGCCACAGGGCCGGGCCACTTGACAAGAAATGAAAGACAGCCCCGTTCCCAGGCCATCGTCCTAAGAGCTCTATTAAATACATGGGAAAAGAAAAGAAAATATGGAAATGCTTCCGTCAACGATGAAATGGATAATTACAGAGGGACCGTTACTGTCATGGGGCGTATCTGGTCATGGGGCGCATCTGGTAAGTGAATTGAAAAATGAGATGGATTTGGTTAGACACCCCTTCAAGAACCACCACTCAATCTTGTGCAAACTTGAACTAGCTGAAGAGTGTCGAGGAAAAACTCAAAAGCACTGGCTGGAAGCAAAGCATTCTGGGAGCACCAACTTGGTCAGTAGGCCTCGTGCCGGGCTGTGAAGGGGGGACCCCATCCCGGCCGCTCGGCTTCCGGTGGCTGGGTGGGAGCCCACGGCTGTCCATTCGACGGCGCCCTCTTTCTCCTGACCGCTGACCCGCCACTGTCTACCCAGCACATACCGCTCCAGCTCCACGGCCGGCCACTGGCAGGCGCCGCCGAGTGGCCCCCAGTTCTAGGGCTGCCCTTCTGCAGTGAGCTGGGAAACTGGCCCCAAAATGTCCCCCACAGAACTCCCCACGGGCACTTGGGGAGAACACCGGAGGCAGGCACCGTCGGTTCTGTCAGCTGGGTGCCCTGGCAGCGTATTGAATGCCCACGGGAAACGCAGGATTTATAGACAGGAAGGAAGCATGCGCCAACCTGGGGGTCGCTAGCTGTCTGCCCCCAGGACCCTTCACGTCCACGCACGCAGTTACGGCCAAAGTGCCCCCTTCTTAGAACAACGGGCTTCCTTTTGTCATTTCTAGGAAACAGCACTCATTTCCGATCGGTTTAGTGTCATTTTGTTGTGGGGTTCCATCCAGTGAATTCGACTCACAGCCACCCAACTGACAGAGGGAAACAGCTCAGGGTTTCCTAAGCTGTCACCTTCACAGGAGCAGGTCACCAGGTCTCTCTTCCACGGAGCTGCTGGGGTAGGTCTGAACTGCCAACCTCCCGGTTAGCAGCTGAGTGCTTAACGGTTGCGCCACTTGGAAACGCCCCCCACACCTACATCCTTCTTGGTTTTCTATCTCTCTTCCTCACCAAAAACCCCAAACACCCCACCCCACTGATTTTTTGTGCCATTACGTCTACATCGTTATTTTTTGTGACTTGGCATATTATTTCTGACCCTCTGAAGGGGAAAAAAACTCCCCAAAAAACAGAATACTAGTTCTGTGTCAGGACCACACGGACCAAGGAGATAAACCGAAATGCGGGGGACCAGGAAGCCGGGGAGATGCTGCTGAGAGGGGCCACACGCTGTCGTGTTACAATCTGTGCTCACGGCCACGGGTGGAAGAGGGCGCGGCCAGGACTGGAGGTTGACTCCTACCTGACACCAGAGATCCGACTGTGAACATATGTGTTGTTGTTGGGCGCTGCCCTCGGTCAGTCCCGAGGCACGGTGACTCAGGTGACAGTCAGTCTGTGGCACAGAGACTCGGGTGACAGAGTGGAACTGCCCACGGGCCTCCCAAGGCTTCTTTTGCTCCTTAGAAGTGACGAGGCTGAGATTTTGTCTTCTGTCCTTCGGACATGTCATCAGGAGGTACCAGTCACTGCAGACAGTAAAGTGGGGGGGCAGCAGAAAGAGATGGGCTGGCCCAGCTGCGAGCTCACACACAGTAATACTGTGCGGCGGGCGTAGGACCCGGCTGGGTTTCCTTCTGTGGTCCACGGGGCGGCTATGAGTTGGAGTCAACTCGACGGCACCTGGGGGATCACCAGGTGTTTCGCCCAGGGAGGTCCTGGGTGGGTTTGAACTCCCCACCTTTTGGTTAGCAGCCTGTGGGGCTCCTTTTCAGATGGTAAGCATGGTTGAAGACCTCCGGAAGGGGGCAGAATTTAAAACAGAGAAAAGGAGGCCAGCCCAGCCAGGCTCAGCAATTCAGATGCTAAGTTGGCGAGACACGGGACTTGGCTGGCTGCTGTATCAAGCCCCCGGAGGGTGTCGGGGTGAGGGCCCCGCTCACTGGGCCCAGGGCTACGCTCCTAGCTGCGCAATCCCGAGGCCCCACCAGAAAGGCAAGCAGCGGGCCTCATCTGAACAGGACACATTCCATAAGACAGTCACTGGCGAGGAAACGTGACGGGAGGAGAGGGCAAGCCTTGGCCAGGTCTGAGCAGAAGCAAACACGCTCCTCTGGGCGGCTAAGGAGACCGGCTCTAACAGGTCGTTTGAGGGATTACAGCAGAGCGATGCCCAGGGGCGTCTCCTAGGTGTCCCCATTCTGTCCTTCCTGGGAGATGACGGGAAATGACAACTGGAACCATTTCTGAAGTTCCATGCCAAGGCTGGCTAGGACACCTGTCCACTGGGGCGCTCTCTGTAACGTTTACAACAGCGACCCCTGCTGGGCACTAACAGTGTGATTTAAAGCTGTACACTGACTCGTCCTGCCAGCAGGTTCTTTCCTCACAAACCCATTCTGGATTGTTCCGGAACATTCTGGATTGTTCCGGAACATTCTGGAACAATTTCCCCACCCGCTTTCCCCGCAGCCACCTTGCAAAGCATCTGGCTCCTGCCGTCCTGTGCCCCGGCTCTCCTACGTGTGGGTCTCACGCCTACGGTGGGCGGGCATGAAAAACCAGGTGAGACGCCCAACGGGGCTGACGCCCTCCGTCTGAAATCCCGCCCTACGGAGCACGTGGCGACATGTAGCCTGCGCCTGCCAGCTGCTTTCTTTCTTGTGGAGGTTTAATGAGGGGCAGGCCGACCCTACCTCACCGAGCATGGGACGGGAGACGGTGAGCGCCTCAGGGCCCACCTCCACCAGCAGCTGGTGCAGAAGCAGCATTTCCGGGACGTCATTGGCCCGTTTCCACGTGGAGATTTTTTTTTTTTTTCAGGGGGTAGGGGAACCACCAATTCTCTGAGTCAGGTTGTTTTTTGTCACAAACCCAATTCCGCTTGGAGCCCATTTTCTCGCAGCCGACAGTGATGCCTCGATGGACAAAGTTATTTCTCAGCAGGACGGTGAAGCAGAACCAAAACCTGAACCAAAGCCCGTGCCATGGAGTCAGCTCTGACGCCCAGCGACCCTGCGGGGCAGAGCCAAACTGCCCCCTAGCGTTTCAATCTCTATAGAAGCTGACTGACTCACTTTTCTCCCAAGGAGTGGCTGGTGGGTTTGAACTGCTGACCTCTTGGTCGGCAGCCCAGTGCTTTAACCACCGCACCACCAGGGCTCCAGTGAGGAAGGAGGGGGTACTTACACCTTAAGTTATAAGCCATCGGGGGAAAAAAAAAAAAAAAAAAAAAAAAACACCTCACATCAAGGGACAAGCAAGATATCATTGCAAAGGCCCTCTTGCCTGGACATCTGATTAACATCCTTAATATGCCGCAAATCACAAACCTCGCGCACGGAGCACCCAAGGCCTGGACGCCCTGCGCCATGTGGCTCCAATCCCACCCCCAGCGCTCACGTTAACATGTGCTATATTACATCCTGCAGGTCCCAGCCTGGCAGATGGGAACATTCATTGTTTCTAACTTAAAAAAAAAAAAAAAAAAATGGTGCATCGTCTTAACCCTTTGAGCACCCTATTAGCAGCAAGTCACCATCGGCACCAACAAAACCGCGTGTCATCGAATTCAGCCAAAGGAAGCCTTTACCGACAGACCAGGACACACACTCTTGGTCGGGCCGTCCAAGCACGGATGGAGCTCTAGATAAATCAGATGGAACCGTTGGGCATGAATTTGGAAAACCTCAGAGTCTCAAAGGGTTAAGGTCGGATTTCCAGGACGAGGGTCTCATTAAAAGGGCGAGTTTGGGGAGCGCACAGTCTCGGATGAACTTGGAGAGTAGTCTTCCGATTCTGAGTTGAGTTCCGGGGGGGCCGGCTGCGCCTTGTACCGGGCCCTCACATCCTGGTGGCGTCTTCGTCGGAAAACCTGCCTCTCCTTATCAAGAGCGGTGGTCTGGCAGGGGCATAAAATGAGAAAGAGAACAATTAGGCCGAGGGAAGTGACAGCGGGAACCAGCTCTGGGCTTCAGCCCCCAGCTCGGCTAAGGGAACTCATCTCCCGGGGCACCCTCTGCAAAGAACGCACAACCCATCATGTATCATCAGCACAGGCTGGCTGGTGGAAGGTGGTGTGTCTAAGCTGTCCCCAGCCCTACCCAGAATTCCACTAAACTGAAAAAAAAAAAAACAAAAAACCCACTGCCATGGAGTTGGTTTCGACCCATAGCGCCCCTAGAGGACAGAGTGGAACTGCCCCACAGGGTCTACAAGGCTGTCAGTCTTTATGGGAGCAAAGCCCAAACCACACCCACTGCCGTGGAGTCCATTCTGACCCACAGCGCCCCTAGAGGACAGAGTGGAACTGCACCACAGGGTTTCAATCTTTACAGAAGCTGAGTGCCTGATCTTTCTCCTGCTGAGTGGCTGGTGGGTGCAAACCACGGTGCTTTGGGTTAGCAGCTGAGTGCTTTAACAACTCACAACACCACCAGGGCCATTAGGTCTGCACCTGCCAGTCAGAGACCAGTGCATATCTGACAGGGGGAAGGCAGAAACATCCCAGCTTCCTTAGCGGGCAGCTCAGGTGGTTGGACAAGGAAGAGGGAAGGTGACGGAGCTGTCAGATGTGGAAACAGAGCCACAGCTCTGGCTGGCACCCTGGCACCTCCTCATCCTGGTGATCTTATCATCTGTGGATGACGGAGTGAGGCGGAATCCCGGGGAAGGATTGGCTTAACTTTAATGAAACCAACTGCTCTGAATGAAATGAAACTGAATGGAAACCATCCCTTGGCCAAATTAATTTTCATCCTGGTGTGCACCCGTGTGTGTGTGTGGGGGGGGTGTTGAATTAAGGAGCACTGGTGGGATAGTGGTTAAAGCATTTGGCTGCTACCGAAAGGTTGGTGGTTCGAACCCACCAGGCCTTCCACAGTTGAAAGATGAGACAGTCCACTTCTATAAAGATGTCAGCCTTGGAAACCCTGTGGGGCAGTTCCACTCTGTCCTCTAGGGGCGCTGTGGGTCAGAATGAACTCCAGGCAGTGGGTGTGGTTTGGGCTTTGCTCCCATAAAGACTGACAGCCTTGGAGACCCTGTGGGCAGTTCCACTCTGTCCTCTAGGGGTGCTGGGGGTCAGAATCGACTCCAGGGCAGTGGGTGTGGTTTGGGCTTTGCTTCTGTGAAGATTGATAGCCTTGGAGACCCTGTGGGGCAGTTCCACTCTGTCCTCTAGGGGTGTAGAAGTGGAATGGAGTGGATGACATTGGGTGTGGTTTTCGGTTGGTGGTGCAGTGGTTAGGGCATGAACTCCTGGTCTCTGTGCCTCACTTTTCCTGAGAAAACCTCAGCTGATGCCCAGGAAAGGGTATGTCACCACAGCTCTGCAATATCCTGGCATTGGAATTGGGTACGGCATGGCTTCACCCCAGGTTTAACGGGTGTTAGGAGGCCCAGCAGTCATTACTTACAGATAAAGCTCACACAGACAGCAGAAAAATACCAAACACACACAGAAGACAAATACAGAACACACTTCAAACTGGAAGGCACCGGGTCTGCCAGGCCTTGGACAAGACTGCAGACAGGAGCGAGTCTGCTGGCTTAAAAGATTACTTTGTCCTCTGCAGGGATGACGCCATCATTTTGCCCTTTGGAAATTTACAGTTAAGTTCTTCAAAGCACAAAAATAAATTTACAGGCAGGCTGGACCGGAGAACCAAGTGCAAACGGGGCCCCGAGGGCGGCACAGCATGAATGCCACCTCAGCTCTCAGACGGGCCATCAAGGGCCCCAAAGAAGTCACAGTGATAGAAGGGGTACAGTGCAAAGAAGCCTGGAGTACGTGGCTCCGTCAGGCTCCGCCAAGGCGCTCTGAAAAGCCTCCAGGCGCGGAAGAGGCGTCCTGGAAACCAGAGAACCGGAAAAGGCGGTACCCCCGCCCTTCCCGAAGACTGAACACGAGCACGCATGCGCGGTGGGATGACGGCCGCCCTTGATTCTTCCGCGGGCGGACTTTTTCAAGGACCCTCCCGTATAGTTCCTCCACTGTGTGCAGATCCTTTCAGCACCGTGAAAACCAAATTCCTAACCCTGTATCAACCGCCATAAAGTCCAGCCCAGGGCGTTTCGCTCTCAAAGCGAACTAAGCACGCTCTGTCTGCGGAGAGGTGAGTGTCTGCAGAAAACAGACCGTCTATTTAGTCTGACGCACAAACCTTACTGTGTCCTTGACCCAAGAGTAATATAAACTCATCTCCTGCTCGTAAAACACGCAGCTATTTCTCCCTTCGCCAAGGAGGAGCCTACAGGCCGTGGACTGACTCTGATCGTCGGATGGAGGCAGTCAGGTTAGGGACGAGCCAAGAACGTGGGAGCCAGGAATTCTGAGTCCCGTCGCCAACGGCTGTGTGAGTCTTCACTCCGCGCTCTCGGCCCCTAAGAAAGAGCAAGCATGCTTTCTAAAGGGGAAGCCCGTGCAGCGAAGAGTGTTGTTTTTTTTTCAATGATTGGATGTTGTTGTTGTTGTTATGTGCCGTGGAGTCAAACCCGACTCACAACAACCCCTCCTTGGGTTTCCGAGGCGGTATCACTACGGAAGTAGGATTGCCCACCCTTCCTTCCGAGGAGTGGCTGGTGGGTTTGAACCGCCAGCCGTCTGGTTAGCAGGCAAGTGTCTTAGGCACTATACTACCAGAGCAATGATTGGATAGAAAATACAATTTTAAAAATTAGGTCAGAAGATGGATTCCTTGGGTTTTCAATGGAAGCAGATCACTACTCCTGGCTTTCAAAGTGTCTCTGGGTGGGTTTGAACCACTGACCTTTTGGATCCTGGTCCAGTGCTTAACTGTCTGTGCCACAAGCAAGTGACTGGAGGTCACAAGAGAAGAGCCTTAGTGGCACAGTGGTTAAGTGCTCAGCTGCTAACGGGAAGATGGGTGGATCAAGCCCATGGGTACGACCTGTCGACCAGCTCCCACAGATGACAGCCTTGGAAACCCCGTGGGCAGTTGTGCTCTGTCACACGGGGTCAACACGCATCGCGATCCACGTGACACCCAAAAGGAACAACCACTGGAGGTAGGCTTGGAGCTGCCGTCCACACCTGGTACCGCATGACGCCCGAGACACCTGAGACTACTGCAAACACATGTGAAGACACCCAGCCTCGATTTACCACCAAGTACATCACCACCACCTCTCAGAGCTCCACAGTCTATCTATCAGCTAATGAAGAAGCCTGGGGGCACAGTGGTCAAGTGCTAACCCAAAGGTCAGTGGTTTGAACTCACCAGCGGCTCCAAGGGAGGAAGATGAGGCAGGCCGCTTCCATAAAGATAGGCAGCCTAGAAAACCCCATGGGTTCCACTCGGTCCTCTAGGGGCGCTGTGGGTCAGAATGGACTCCACGGCAGTGGGTGTGGTTTGGGCTTTGCTTCTGTGAAGATTGACAGCCTGGGAAACCCTGTGGAGCAGATCCACTCTGTTCTCTAGGG